CTGTGTGGAATTTCTCACCAAACACCTTAGAGCAGATAATGCCTTTATGTTACTTACTCAGGTAAGTCCATGTAACTAAGGGATGTACTATTGGAGCTTGAAAAATTGAGTGTAACTATACAGTGGAACCTCGTTTCTCAAACTGAATTCATTTCAGAAGGCTGTTCGAGAAGCGATTTGTTCAAAAACAGAATCATTTTTTCCCATTAGAAATAATGTAAATTGAATTAATCCGTTCCAAGCTCCCAAATGATTCCCTGTTTCAACCTTTCTTATATACAGTACATGTCTAATGTACTGTTTAATCCTATATAATAAAGAGCTGATATGCTAATTAGACCGAATAGCAGAATGACCGTCCAGATGACCTTCCAGACAAAGCCAAGGCTGCGAGGGCCGAGGCAGCCAGGGCTTCAAGGGCTGAGCCCCTTGCATGAATTTCGTGCATCGGGCCTCTAGTTTATAAGTAAACACTTTTTAAATTTATCCAACCACAGCCTTAAAGGAATTTTTCATCAATCACTGCCTCAGAAATGCACTGCTTTTCATTTACCCAATCAACAACAGTTTTTCTAGCTATTGAAGTGCCTGTGATTGTTGTTTTGTGAGCATTTTCACGCCCTTAGCAACATTAGCACTCTGGATGGCCTCTTTATGTTTTAAGATTGTGCTAATCGCCAGCAACCAAAGCATTCTCTCCTTTGCTTGTTGCCTGCTAGACGCTTTTTGTCCTGCTGAGGTATCAGCATGAAAGCGTTGTCAGGTCAAAAACTGAAGTTTTGGTCGACAACTGAGACATTTTTGTCTATGAACAACTTGGTTGAGAACTGAATTGTTTGAGATGGGAGAGGTTTGAAAAACAAGGTTTGACTGTATGTGAATATTTAGTATTCCCTGATGAATTAGTTCTAGATCATTATTTTTTAAAATATATTTTTATTGATTTCAGAGAGGGAGAGAGAGAGAGAAACATCAATAACGAGAGAGAATCATTGATCGGCTGCCTCCTGCACGCCCCACAATGGGGATCGAGCTCACAATGGGGCTTATGCCCTGACCAGGAATTAAACCTTGACCTCCTGTTTCATAGGTCGATGCTCAACCATGAGCCACACCCACTGGGCTCTAGATCATTCTCTTAAAGTATATGTAATTGTTCTTATATTACCTTTCAGGGAAATATAGCAGATTTATATGATTTCACAGTAGAAAAGCAATTAGAGTTAATAAAGTAACATATAGGTAAAGAAACTGAAGCCTCCCCAGCTGGTTTGGCTCAGTGGATAGAGTGTCGGCCTGTGGACTGAAGGGTCCCAGGTTCGATTCCAGTCAAGGGCACATGCCCTGGTTGTGGGCTCGACCCCCAGTAGAAGGTGTGCAGGAGGCAGCCAATCAATGATTTGTCTTATCATTGATATTTCTATCTTTCTTTCCCTCTCCCTTCCTCTCTGAAATCAATAAAAATAAAAACATTTTTAAAAAAAAGAGAAAGAAAGAAACTGAAGCCTTATCATGAGTATAGGGTGCTGTGACTCAAAGTTATGTAGCTCTTCAGGACTGGGGTTGGGATTAGGGTCCGGCGTGGCTCCAGCTGTGGGTGAGAGAGCTTTTTGGACATCTAAATTTTTGTTGGGTCCAAGGGTTTTTATGTGTAGAGACGATCACTTAACTTCTTTATTTTAAAACTTCAGTCATAAAGTTCAGAAACCAATCAATTAAACTTTGATCATTAAAACAGACTTGCTAGTTCAGTAAGTACAATAGGAAGTAAATCGCATTTATTTTCAGCAGACTCTCAGAGGTGGGGCCTGAGAGGCTGTGTTTCTAACGGCTTCCGGATGATGCTAGTGTCTCTGGACCGAACTTTGAGCAGCAAGGGCGGACAAAGATTGCCGCAGGACAGAAAAGGGACTTTTCAGTGCCTTGTTTGTCTGAGAGCCCAATGTTACCCACATTTTTCATTGGTGGGGTCATGTGAATTATCCAACAAACTATCATGTGAGCTTCTTGTTCCTGCCAAGTGAGTCATTTGAACTGAGCCGGTTCATTTACTGGAAAAGACCCAGCTTCGCTCCAACACAAAGGGCCAGTGTACTGTGCCAGCATGGTTTGCACAGGGAAAACACTTATGATGAAGTGATAGGATCACAGTGATGTTTACCAGAGATCATGCCAGACCCTTAAGTAGCAGTAATGGATTCCCTAGGAAATTGATGCTGCCTGTATAATCTGAGTGGCTGAAGTATTGCTACTCTAGTTAAAGTAATTTTTACAAAAACTTGTTTTTCCTAGAGTGAAAGATGAATTTTTGCATGAACACTGAAAATACATTTGAGTTCGCCATTTAAAATATTTGCTCATATTAGAATTTTAATTGTTAAAAATGTACTGTTTTTTTTTTTATATTTTTAAATACATGAACTGTGATCCTAAGGCAGGATCCTACACTAGAAGGAAAAGTGCTGTAAAAAAAGATCACTGGGTCAGTTGACAAAAAATGAATACAGGTAGTAGGATAAAAATATTGTATTGTTATTTACCAAAGTTAGCTCTAATAACAGAATATCCTTTTTCTTAGGAAATACACACTGATGTGTTTAAGGGTAAGAGTTATGATGCATGTAATTTATTATAAAACTAGAGGCCTGGTGCACAAATTCGGGGCTGTCTCGCCCAATCCCGATCAGGCCAATAGGGGCCGCAGGAGGGCTCCAGGGCATGTCCGGCCCACTTGCCCAGTCCCGATTGGCCGGACCCCAGCAGCAAACTAACCTACCTGCCAGTTGGAACATCTGCCCCCTCGTGGTCAATGCGCATCATAGCGACTGGTCAAGTGGTCGACCAAACGGTCGACTGATCGGTAGGACACTTAGCATATTAGGCTTTTATGTATATAGATGGGCCAGACACCCCGCCCCCCCCTTATGTATAAACATACACGTATATGTAATATACATAGCCTCCTTTCTAATGCATTACTTATTTTGATCATTAATGAACCCTCTAGGTTACATAAGGTAGACATTATCATCCCATGTATGTATACACATATACATAATTTATTTTATTATACATATTTGTGTTTCTATTTAGGGCTAAAATTTATTAAAACTTTGACGAAGCAAATTAATGTAAACAGACTTGGTATATAATCTAAGAAGAGGATTTATAAACATATTTGAATATTCTATAACTTCAAGAAATCTTCTACTGATTAAAAATATATGTTTATATTTATATAAATAAAATTATGAATCATATATTAGAGATATATTTAAAATTTAAGCCAGTGTGTTTAATGTATTCATTTCTGCCCCTTAAAACACAGATAACTTTTTAGCTTAGAGATGTGATTCATTTGTTCAGTAGCATCTGAGTTATTGAATCCTTTGAAAATGAATTTTACTTTAAAATTAAATGAAGAGTCATCAGCCACATCAAATAATGGTGTCATTTATGGTGTGGCTAACTAATTGGCAGCCTTCTCAGCAGGTTTCTGCATCATCCAGCATGAGCACCTCTGAGCATCTGGTGTTTGTCCATGCTGTTCAATTCAACAGCTGACGCTAGGTCAAGATGAAAGACTGGCATACGATCATCACATGTTCTTTTTCAGTGTTACGGCTTTTAAAAATATCACTTGAGTTTAGATTTCACTCCCTGTCCCTCCAGCTTTTTTTTAAAAAAAAAAGTATAATATGCATCCTGATAAAACACATATAATCTTGACTTCTGACTTTTTTAAAATATATTTTTATTGATTTCAGATGGGAAGGGAAAGGGAGAGAGAGAAACATCAATGATGAGAGAGAATCACTCATTGGCTGCCTCCTGCTTGCCCCCCACTGGGGATCAAGCCCACAACTCCGGGCATGTGCCCTTGACCAGAATTGAACCCAGGACCCTTTAGTCCGCAGGCCGACACTCTAGCCACTGAGCCAACTAGGGCAACTTCTGACTTCTTAAAGCCTAGATTAGCTTTGCTGGAATCATGGAGTCTCTACTGTTTTGTTCAATATATATTGTGGCTTCTTTTATCATTAAGTTTGTGGGATTCAGTCATATTGTTAAGAGAAGTTGTAGCTTTTCATTCTCGTTGTATAAATTCCATCATTAAAGTATGTGAATTTATTTACTTGCTCTTCTGTTGAAAGTATTACAGATGTCCCCATTCCCCTCCCCATTGACCCCCTTTGCCCCACTCAGGTTCCCAGAGCTTCCATGCTCTAAAATTCTTGTACTTTATTCTCTTCCACTAATCAAAACAGGAAAAGGGGGGAAAAATCTGATCTGTTTGTATCAGTATGCTTGACCAAAGTTGATATTATTGTTTAGTGAAAAGATCATAAAAAATGTGGCTTTAGCCCTAGCAGACTGAAGGGTCCCAGGTTCGATTCTGTCAAGGGCACATGCCCGGGTTGCGGGCTCCATCCCCAGTGGGGGGCGTGCAGGAGGCAGGCAATCAATGATTCACTCTCATCATTGATGTTTCTATCTCTTTCTCCCTCTCTCTCCTTCTCTGAAATCAATAAAAAATATTTTTTTTAAAATGTGGCTTTACATACTAGCTTTGCAACATAACTAGCTTCATATTTATGAGGCAAGTCAGAACACCCCTCTGAGCCTCTGTGTCCTCATCTGGCAGATGGGATAAAAATGTCTCCCTTATGTGGCATAGGGTGTTCATTAAGGATTAAAATTAGTGCATAAGGCCAAAACCGGTTTGGCTCAGTGGATAGAGCGTCGGCCTGCGGACTGAAGGGTCCCAGGTTCGATTCCGGTCAAGGGCATGTACCTTGGTTGCAGGCACATCCCCAGTGGGGGGTGTGCAGGAGGCAGCTGATCGATGGTTCTCTCTCATCGATGTTTCTGGCTCTCTATCTCTCTCCCTTCCTCTCTGTAAAAAATCAATAAAATATATTTAAAAAAAATAAAATTAGTGCATAAGAAAGTAGGCAGTGTATACATAAGCATATGAAAATACAGATAACAGGGCTGGTAGTGGTGATGTGAATTTGTTATCTCAGCAAGACGCTTGTTCTTTTAGCTTTTCATTTCTGATTGTGGAATGAAAAGTTTTAAGAATATATAGAAGTTGTAATTATATTTTAAGTAGGTGTTTTTACATAATCAGCAATTACAACTGTTTATAGTATTAACTTTGAATATGCACAGCCTGAAGATAAAGAAATTATGGAGCCCTAACCGGTTTGGCTTAGTGGATAGAGCGTAGGCCTGCGGACTAAAGGGTCCCAGGTTCGATTCCGGTCAAGGGCATGTACCTGGGTTGCGCGCACATCCCCAGTAGGAGGTGTGCAGGAGGCAGCTGATCGATGTTTCTCTCTCATCGATGTTTCTAACGCTCTATCCCTCTCCCTTCCTCTCTGTAAAAAATCAATAAAATATAGTAAAAAAAAAAAAAAAAGAAATTATGGAAACAAAATAATTGTGGTTTTATATGTTTAGGCGCGACTATTTGATGAACCTCAGCTTGCTAGTCTTTGTCTAGATACAATAGACAAAAGCACGATGGATGCGATAAGTGCGGAAGGATTTACTGATATCGATATAGGTAAGTTCACGCGTAATTACATTTTACCTGTAAGTACTTAATGCCTTACCAGTCAGCCTTGGTGGACGAGCTGTTTTTTTGATTAGGTGTTTTTTTCCAAATGATTTATGTCTACCCCTTTAAGAATTTTACTTTATTTTGGTGAGATATTCCTAAAAGTCTTAACTACCCCATTGCCTTTTAAAAGATGTCAAAGCAAATAAATATTCATTGACTGTTCACATATGCATGGCATTATACTAGGGTCCTGTAAAAAAAAAAGAATTACAAAGACAGGTAAGACACAATTTTTCTTAGGAAAACTATCATCTAGTTGGAGAATCAAGGAAACAAATATGTGAAAGTTAAGATTTAAGACATTAATAGAAGAGATGGCAAAGGCCAAAATGTGATTTTTTTTTTTTTTTTTCCTTTCCTGGACTAGATATATAGGAAATAATTACAGTGCAAATTCAAAACATGAAGAGGTTAGGAAAATCTTGACAGAGGAGGTCCTGATAGTAACTGTTTGTATAAGGAAGAGGATAGAGGCCATGAGAGGCAAGAAGTACCACATGAAGACATGTGTAAAGGAAGGGAAAGGCAAGGCAGGTTATGTTAAACAAATACTTGGTTCTACAATGAATGCGTAGATCATTGCAGAATATAATTTAAAAAAAGAAAGTATAGAGTCTATAGTTTTAAGTATCACCTATTTTTATTGAGATTTGACAACTTAATATAAGCAAGTTGGTCTGTATTGTTTTGTTATAGAGCAAGATATTCCTCATTTATTTTTATGTTTTTTTTACCTGTAGACACACTCTGCGCAGTTCTGGAAAGAGACACACTTAGTATTAGAGAAAGTCGGCTTTTTGGAGCTATTGTACGATGGTCAGAAGCAGAATGTCAAAGACAACAGTTGCCTGTGAGTTTTGAAAACAAACAGAAAGTTCTAGGAAAAGCACTGTCCTTGATCCGGTTCCCACTGATGACCATTGAGGAGTTTGCAGCGGGTAAGGCATAACTTGACCAAAGTCTAATTTTTTAAAATATATTTTTATTGATTTCAGAGAGGAAGGTAGAGGGAGAGAGAATCATTGATTGGCTGCCTCCTGCACACCCCCCCACTGGGGATCGAGCTCGCAACCCTGGCATATGCCCTTCACCAGAGTTGAATCTGGGACCCTTCAGTCTGCAGGCTGGCACTCTATCCACTGAGCCAAACAAGCCAGGGTGATCAAACTCTATTAGAAACTGTTTTAATGGTTAGTCAGCCAGTCTCCCTGTGTGAGAGAGGAAAATAAGCTATTAATTACTGAGGACTGGTCACTCTTCCAGTTACATGATATATGTGTGTGTGTCTGTGTTTATAATTTTACATAATTCTCCTAATAGCCCTTTAAAATAATATTATAGGTTACTAGAGGCCCGGTGCATGAAAATCACGCACCGAGAGGGGGGGGGGGGGGGTCCCTCAGCCTGGCCTGCACCCTCTCGCAGTTCGGGAGCCCTCAGGGGATGTCTGACTTGCCTCTCACAGTCCGGGACCCCTTGCTCCTTACCGCCCACCTGCCGCCCTTGTCCATCTCAGACCGGGCCGATTGGGTAATTGGGCCCCCCCCGTCATGCACAGAGCAGGGCGGATCGGGAGGTTGCGATGCCACCCTCAGTCACGCTCAGGGTAGGGCCGATTGGGGGGTTGGGGCACCGCCCCCTGTCACACTCAAGGCAGGGTCGATGGGGAGGTTGCGGCGCCACCCCCTGTCACGCACAGAGCAGGGCCGATCAGGGGGTTGGGGCGCTGCACCCTGTCATACTCAGGGCAGGGCCAATGGGGAGGTTATGGCTCTACCCTGTCACACACAGAGCAAGGCCCGTGGAGGGGGGTTGGGGCGCCACCCTCTATCACCCACAGAGCAGGGCCGATCAGGGGGTTGGGGCGCCGCCACTGTCACACTCAGGGCAGGGCTGATGGAGAGGTTATGGCTCTACCCTGTCACACACAGAGCAGGGCCCGTGGGGCGGGGGGGGCGTTGGGGTGCCACACCCTGTCACACACAGAGCCACAGGGCAATCAGGGGATTGGGGAGCTCCCCCCTATCAGGCACAGAGCAGGGCAGATAGGGAGGTTGTGGCTCCGCCTCCTGTAACACACAGAGCCGCAGGGCGATCAGGGGGTTTGGGCGCTGCCCCCTGTCACGCTGATCCTGGTGCCGGGAGCCTCGCTGCTCCGCTGATCCCGGTGCCGGGAGGCATATTACCCTTTTACTATATAGAATAGAGGCCTGGTGCACGGGTGGGAGCCGGCTGGTTTGCCCTGAAGGGTGTCCTGGATCAGGGTGGGGGTCCCCACTGGGGTGCCTGGCCAGTCTGGGTGAGGGGCTGAGGGCTGTTTTCCGGAAGCGAGTGAGTGAAGCTTCCAACCACTCCTTGTTTTCTTTTTTTTTTTTTTTTTATTCTGGGCCAGCTTTAGCTCTGAGGCCTCGCTGCTGAAAACATCGATACAATGTTGCTAAAACCCGGCTGAATGAAAGCCAGTTTCTGGGGTTTTGTTTATCTTCTTATTTGCAACATAGTACATAGTTGCTTAGAGTTGTAGCTCAGAGGCCGGCAGCGCAGGCGGGGAACGTTGGAGTCCTCCTTCACTGCAGCAAGCAAGCCTCATGTTCGCTTCCAGCTGCCTGGCTGCCGGCCGCCATCTTGGCTGACAGTTAATTTGCATATACTCACTGATTGGCCAATGAAAAGGGTAGCGGTCGTACGCTAATTACCATGTTTCTCTTTTATTAGTGTAGATACTATATATCTTAAATTTTACATATATTTATAATATATTTTAAAAGTATGTGTTTTATGGGTTAGACAACTGATCTTGAGAGTGGTTAAGTACTTTGCTCAAGGTTATAATGCTTATAAAACACCTGAAATTTCTGTGTAACTATTTTTTTAAATATTTTTTTATTTATTTCAGAGAGGAAGGGAGAGGGAGAGGGAGATGGAAACATTAATGATGAGAGAGAATCATTTATTGGCTGCCTCCTGCATACCCCCCACACTGGGGATCGAGCCTGCAATTCAGGCATGTGCCCTGACCGGGAATCGAACCGTGGTTGATGTGCAACCACTGAGTGTGCTGGCTGGGCTCTGTGTAACTCTTTAGTCTCTTAGCAGCTTCTTTCTGCTTGGTTTCTTTGTCTCAGATTCCTCTTGTTTGTGCATATCTTAGGAATCAGCAAATACAGAAATTATGTACAAAATGTTGGTCTTGTCTCTCTATTCGATCCTTTCTATGAAATCATTTGGTTTGAATTCCAATTTTTGTCTCCTCAGTCAAATGAGGCCTGCCATAGTTTCTAGGTTGCCAGTTTCTCCTTGGCATTTATGCCCCATGAAGCAAATCAGCAATATCCCAAGGGGAGAAAGTGGTGACAGATACAGAGCTTCTCAGTATATTTCCCTTCTCAAGCACTGACTGCCTCAGTTCTCTGTTACTTGAAGTTGCTATTGGTTGTATTTTCATCAATAGTTCTCTGGCTTAGGCTGTCCCATCCCTACAACATTCCTTATATTTTAAGAGTCAAAATAATTCATATTCCCCAAACTAT